CTATTTATGGAATAAACCTTCCAAATTATATCTGTGTTGAATTGAACGCTCATAATTCATAACATAAGTTGATAAAGTGCGTAGATTCTCAAAGAACTGCTCGATTTTTACGCCCGGAATGTTCTGAAGCAATGCTCGTCGCTCCTCGTTTCTTTACATCATAATGTTCACGTCTCGACGGCACATGCGCAGTTGCGACGTGTAAGAAAGAATCGGGTGTTCCGGGGGTAATTCTACCCAAATCCTTTAAAACAAAACCCAAACGGCGGAAAAGCAATGCTTCAAAATTTACAGTAACCGCCAAAATCCCTCAATATTTTGGTGAACTTTGCAAAAGGGGTATAGTGCATTAATAAATAAAGCAAGTTAAACGGATTTAAAAACTTTAAATTACTGATCATATACAAAAAGTTACTATACGCATAAATCAACCTACCCCCCGTAAAGTTTACACTATGACTGACTGTCTGACTGACTGACTGACTGTCTGACTGACTGACTTAGGCCTGTTTCAAACGTCGCATTTTGCATGTGTCGAATACAATTGTTTGAATTATCTGCATGCGAGATGCGACGTATGAAACAATTGAATTCGCCGTTTTTAATTGCGGTCGACCGTGATGCTAAATTCGACTGTTCCGGTCGCATTATGCGAGCTCGGTGCGACGTGGTTTCATAGGTCGCATTTTGCATGTGTCGAATTCAATTCGCTTGAAGAGAAAGGCAAAGAACGTCGTGCATGTTATGATATTGAAAGGCACAAGTAAGGAAATATGGAGGCCGTATAGACAAAAGAAATGAACCAGCACAATCGTATTGTATTACGTGTGCATGAAAGTTGACAAAATACATTTGCCTACCGCGTCTGTTTGTAATGGTTGCGCAGTACACGAACAAAACGAAGAATCCCAAGGCTGGCTTGCTGGAAGCGGCTGGGAAGTAGTTGGATATTGCATAAAGTGCAATATATTTAGGCAAGAGTATTAGGAAAATAATAGCAAGAAAAGGATTTCTAGAAATATGAAATTTTTTATTTACGCCCAAGCGGACTGTCGCTGATCATAAGGAATGGAGCCGCAACTATTTGAATTCAACACATGCGAAATGCGACGTTTGAAATGACGGTCGGATTATGTTTTAGGGTCGAATCTAATTAGAATTATATTCGATGCATGCAAAATGCGACGTTTGAAACAGGCCTTACTGACTCGTTTGAATTTTCGCCACTCATCACAATACTGCAAAGTTTCTCAAACTTTGCACTAAAAAACAGTAAAATGATAATCATACAATCCTAACTTCTAGAACTACAATCATAGCGAACTCTTGTATAACATTCCGCCGTCCTTAATTATTTGGCAAACCGTGAATCCATTTTGTCTATGAGTTTCATATCTTTAGATGATCACATGCTTTTTATTTTCTGTTAATTTGCATAACTTTCCGAGAGTTATGGTTGTGAAAACGGCACTGAAACACTCATACTATTTGAAATCCGGCCGCCATGGCCCATGTTTACATGGAATTGCTGCTATCAACTTCCATACTCCAGGCTCCAGCAATCTGATTGGTTTTGAGCGCTCAATACGCGAGTTTGTAAAAAATCTCCTCTTAAATAATCTCACGCGCGGAACTTTAGTGAGTTGAGTTGATGTGCGCTGATCGAGTTAATGACTTGGTCTGGGGCGCACAGCAATAAAATAAACAGTGAACCAAATTAAACTTGTGGTCGAAAGCCTCGAGCTGTTCCCCATACGGCCCTAACCATCCTGCTGGTATGAAAGAGAACTATATTACAACATAAAAAGGGGTCGTTTAGCAAAGTGAACTGGTCAAGATCTAGGAAAACATGCCCGTCTCTACGGGCTTAAAGTCCCGTTTACACGACAAACTATTTTGGCACGCCACGTTTAAATTTAGTCGTGTAAACAGACATAAAATACGTCTGAAGCCCCGTAATTTTAACCGTGCCAAGACCGCGTTAAAAGGTGGTCTCGGCCTTTAAAGCATGGCTTTAATTTTTGACATGCAGGCCAAGAAAGAAAAATGCCGTATAAACGCGCTAATATGAAATGGTCTAGCATAATGTGAATTGGTCTAGCATAATGTGAATTGGTCTAGCGTAATGTGAAATGGTCTACCATAATGTGAAATGGTCTAGCGTAATATGAAATGGTCTAGCGTAATGTGAAATGGTCTAGCATAATGTTAAATGGCTAGCATAATGTGAAATGGTCTAGCGTAATGTGAAATGGTCTAGCGTAATATGAAATGGTCTAGCGTAATGTGAAATGGTCTAGCATAATGTTAAATGGCTAGCATAATGTGAAATGGTCTACCATAATGTGAAATGGTCTAGCGTAATATGAAATGGTCTAGCGTAATGTGAAATGGTCTAGCATAATGTTAAATGGCTAGCATAATGTGAAATGGTCTAGCGTAATGTGAAATGGTCCAGCGTAATGTAAAATGGCTAGCATTATAATTATGAAATGGTCTAGAATAATATGAAATGGTCTAGCGTAATGTGAAATGGTCTAGCGTAATGTGAAATGGTCTACCATAATGTGAAATGGTCTAGCGTAATATGAAATGGTCTAGCGTAATGTGAAATGGTCTAGCATAATGTTAAATGGCTAGCATAATGTGAAATGGTCTAGCGTAATGTGAAATGGTCTAGCGTAATATGAAATGGTCTAGCGTAATGTGAAATGGTCTAGCATAATGTTAAATGGCTAGCATAATGTGAAATGGTCTACCATAATGTGAAATGGTCTAGCGTAATATGAAATGGTCTAGCGTAATGTGAAATGGTCTAGCATAATGTTAAATGGCTAGCATAATGTGAAATGGTCTAGCGTAATGTGAAATGGTCCAGCGTAATGTAAAATGGCTAGCATTATAATTATGAAATGGTCTAGAATAATATGAAATGGTCTAGCGTAATGTGAAATGGTTTAGCGTAATGTGAAATGGCCTAGCATAATGTGAAATGGTCTAGCGTAATATGAAATGGTCTAGCGTAATATGAAATGTCTAGCATAATAAGTCTAGCGCAATGTGAAATGCCTAGGGTAATAATTATGAAATGTTCTAGCATAATGTTAAATGGTCTAGCATATGTGAAATGCCTAGCGTAATATGAAATGTTCTAGCATAATGTGAAATGCCTAGCGTAATATGAAATGTTCTAGCATAATGTGAAATGCCTAGCGTAATATGAAATGTTCTAGCATAATGTGAAATGCCAAGCGTAATATGAAATGTTCTAGCATAGTGAGAAATGGTCTCGCGTAATATGAAATGGTCTAGCGCAATGTGAAATGCCAAGCGTAATATGAAATGTTCTAGCATAATGTGAAATGCCAAGCGTAATATGAAATGGTCTAGCATAATGTGAAATGGTCTACCGTAATATGAAATGGTAGCGCGTAATGTGAAATGGTATAGCATAATGTGAAATGGTCTAGCATAATGTGAAATGGTCTAGCGCAATGTGAAATGGTCTAGCGTAATATGAAATGGTAGCGCGTAATGTGAAATGGTATAGCATAATGTGAAATGGTTTAGCATAATGTGAAATGGTCTAGCGCAATGTGAAATGGTCTAGCGTAATATGAAATGGTTGCGCGTAATGTGAAATGGTATAGCATAATGTGAAATGGTCTAGCATAATGTGAAATGGTCTAGCGCAATGTGAAATGGTCTAGCGTGATGTGAAATGGTCTAGCGTAATGTGAAATGGTATAGCGCAATGTGAAGTCATCTAGATTAATGTTAAATGGCTAGCATAACGTGAAATGGTCTCGCATAATGTGAAATGGTCTAGCGTAAATTGGTAATGTGAAACGGTCTAGCGCAGGCTAGCAGGTGTACCATAGTGTGAAATGGTCCACCGTGATGTGAAATGGCTAGCGTAGTGTGAAATGGCTAGCGTAAAAATCTGTAAAAGCACTCAAAAATCTAGGCATCCAAAATTAATATCGCACGTATTTTTTTAAAATTATTTTAAATCTTTGGTGTTTTTTTGCAAGTCTCTCGTTGAGAATGCGGTATATTATCTCTTTGAAGTTGGCTACGGCAAGGTAGTGAAAACAACACAGCGCGTAGTCTTGCATGATGTTCGCGTATCATATTCACCGGTAAATGCGATTTGTTTTTATATCAGCCAATATGAAAATTTTTGCCGCTGCAGATTTCTCATCAAACAGTTTAAATTTTTTTTTAATGTAGAATAAAATTTGGAGCCTGCAATATTTGTTCATTTTCAATTAATGCGAGCAATTAATTTTTTCAATTAATTCAATTAATTTCAGAGCAATTAATTCGAAATCTAAACACGCTCCTAAAAAGTTTTCTTGATAATTGCTAATAAAAAGGTAACCCTCACGGTACCATCTTCCTCACCCAACAGTGTAAATGGAATTTTTGAACCGAAATGTAGTAGGAACTGCATCCAAGTTTTAAAGGTAAAAATATAATTTATCACATACTATATAGCTTTCGCCTTTATCGGGGAGATAAAAGGGCTACATGAAAATGATATGTCACTTATATACTTTTTCTTAAAGAAGATTAAATTCAATTTTTAATGTACTATGAAATTTCGAGATTGTTTGGAGCTTGAGAAATTTTTGAGACATTGCTGACTGAAGCAAGTATTGCGAATGTTTTTCCTTTGCAGCCATTACGAAAATGATGAGAATTAAAGACTTAGGCCTAGTTCTCATACAGTATGTCGTGATTCATCGGCGATGTTCTACGATCCATTATGAGTGATCAATTAAGTAAATATTTTTATATTAAATAGACACAGCATTTTACTCATCAATACGAACGGACAAAAATAGTGCCGACGAATGGCGATGTACGAGACTTTATTTTCATGAATTAATAGTAAACAAATAAAGAAATGCTGTGCTATCTGCACTTGCGTTGCACAGTAAAAAAATGTCAGTAACTATAATAATTTATATAGAAAATATATCTCAAATCATTACCTTCATTATCTGTGATAGTCACTGTCGCTTCGCCAATAGTAATTTGAACGTTGGGGTCATTTAACATCAAAACAACTGTAAAATTTTCGTTGCCTTCATAACTGTTATCATCAATTATCGGAATATCAACGCAATCAGTTGTTTGAATAAAACTTTGAATTCCAACATCTTTGTCAAAACCTACTAAAACTTTGTAATCTTCTCCGCTTGTTGCAGTGCCATTTCTGAATGTTAATCTTAAAATATTTATGATAAACACATTAAACCGATAAACAAAAAATTAGCCGCATATCTTGGTTGTGCAGATTTATCGATTTATTAATTATTGTCATCAAAACTGATATTTTTCATCTAAAAATCAAAGATGCTTAGAAAGAGGACTGTTCACTTTGAAATTACAGTACGAGAGTGAAAAAGAGAGAAATAAATTGTTTAAAATTTTTAACAATATTGCATGGATGATTCAATAACAAAGTATTCTGTCCGCTACCCGGATGTACATACCTATAAATATAATGAAAATTTACTCACGTTCCTGAAAAGGAAGTCCCATCAAAATTGCTAACATTAAGACAGACTTGCAATTGACCATCTCCCTCACCAACGGTGTAGGTTGAGCTTTGGAATCCAAATGTAACAGGGGGCGGGGGGGCAGCTGAAAAAGTTGGGAAATATCTCAACAAAAGTCTGGCACAGATATATAATTATGAAGGGAACTGATAAAATACATATGGAGCAACATAAGTAAACTGTTTCCGGAGTACCTTCAGTAAAAATTGGGAACGTCAGCAACGATATTTTTGTTTCATCCATTTATCGATATTTTTTTTTAGATTTCGCGTCAGAGGGGATTCGGCATAATATTTTCCGAAAATGTAATATTTCCACAAGAGGAAACGCAAACCCTGAGGGTTTCTAAAATTAGCGATAAAATTGTTATATCAAATGGAAAACTAGCCTAAGCATGCAGAGTAGAAACAGGTACAGTTAAATGTTTCCTAAAAGTATTTTAAAAATTCTGTAAAAGCGCTTAAAAATCGAGGCGTCCAGTATTACTATTGCACGTATTTATCTAAAATTATTTTAAATCTTCGGTGTTTACTGCAAGTCTCTCGTTGAGAATGCGGTATATTTTCTCTTTGAAATTGGCTATTTCTTGACGTCAAGGAAGCGAAAACAACACAGTGCCCATTATTTTTTAACCTAACATGTTGTCTTGCATGAAGTTCGCGTATCATATTTACCGGTAAATGCGATTGGTTTTTATATAAGCGAATATAAAAAATTTTGCCGCGGCAGATTTCATATCAAACAGTTTAAATTTTTGCTCTAATGTAGAAAATAAAATTTGGAGATTGTAATATTTGTTCATTTTCAAGAGCAATTAATGCGAAATCTAAACACGTTCCTAAAACGTTTTCTTGATAATAATAAAAAGGTAACCCTCACGGTACCATCTTCCTCACCCAACAGTGTAAATGGAATTTTTGAACAGAAATGTACTAGGAACTGCATCCAAATTTCAAAGGTAAAAATATAATTGATCACATACTATATAGCTTTCGCCTTTATCGGGGAGATAAGAGGGCTACATGAAAATGATATGTCACTTATATACTTTCTCTTTAAGAAGATTAAATTTAATTTTTAATGTACCTTAAAATTTGGAAATTTTGAAAAGAAAAAAAATTTTGACTAAAGCAAGTGTTGCGAACGTTTATCCTTTGCAACCATTACGAAAATGATGAGAATTAAAGACTTAGGCCTAGTTCCCATACAGTATGTCGTGATTCATCGGCAATGTTGTCAGATCCATTATGAGTGATCAATTAAGTAAATTTTTTTTTTAAATGGACACAGCATTTTACTCATCAATATTAAACGACAAAAACAGTGGCGACGAATGGCGATGTACGGGATTTGATTTAATTTCAAGAATTAATAGTGAACAAATAAAGAAATGCTGTGCTATCTGCACTTGCGTTGCACACTAAGAAAATGTCAGTAACTATAATATATAGAAAATACATCTCGAATAATTACCGTCATTATCTGTGATAGTCACTGTCGCTTCGCCAATAGTAATTTGAACGTTGGGGTCATTTAACATCAAAACAACTGTAAAATTTTCGCTGCCTTCATAACTGTTATCATCAATTATATCAATATTTTCGCAATCAGTTTTTTGAATAAAACTTTGTATTCCAACAGATTTCTCATCATCTGAATAATCTTCTCCGCTTGTTGCAGTGCCATTTCTGAACGTTAATCTTAAAATATTTATGATACACACATTAACCCGATAGACACAAAATTAGCCGCATATCTTTGTTGTACAGATTTATCGATTTATTAATTATTGTCATCAAAACTGATATTTTTCATCTAAAGATCAAAGATGTTGAGAAAGAGGACTGTTCACTTTGAAATTACAGTACGAGAGTGAAAAAGAGAGAAATAAATTGTATAAAATTTTTAACAATATTGCATGGATGATTCAATTGCAAAGTATTCCGTCCGCTATCCGGATGTGCATATAAATATAAAGAAAATTTACTCACGTTCCTGAAAAAGAAGTCCCATCAAAATTGCTAACATTAAGACAAACTTGCAATTTACCATCTGCCTCACCAACGGTGTAGGTTGAACTTTTGAATCCAAACCTAACTGTATTCATCAATTTATATTTGGGTTACTTACAATAATTATATATTAGTTAAAACTACAAAATAAAAGTCATTTAAAGGTCTAAAATTAACTCCGCAGACTGCATTCTTGAAGGAAAGTTTTTTTTTTAGCGGAAATTGGCTTGTTTTTTGCATACCATACTTTATGCTGTATAAACTATGTTCAAGATCCAACTTTGTGGGATCAAATTCACTTCTGACGGATGTTTTATAGTTTGATGCCTTGTAGTGTAAAATAACAGCAAACCCATTGAAGCCAATGCTGTACTGCCTTATCAACAACCGACTATATTTCATACGTCAAGAGTGGATTGGATGCAAAAAAATTGATCCTGTGAACAGAGCTTTCGGATATGGGTCGGATGAACGTATGTCATTCCACACTTGGTTGGATCAGGCTTTTAATTTCATACTTTGGGGGGTAAAATTTCTTTCAGAGCAATTTTTGATGGCGTGGGCTCATGATCATGCTAATCCGGTATAGCTAGTGTAAACAGGTCTAAGTATTGTTTAATTCTCACCTTGTCCTGTTGATGACACAATTTCCAGAGCACATACAAAGATATGCAAGTATATCGACTGCCATAACTGCATCTAAGGATGTTGGTTATAATTTAAAATTTTATTCGTGGAGCAGAGGAACAGAAATAATCATTGAATGTACTGTATTCGCAAGCGATGAACCATAGGAATTTCAGCAAATATTCAAAATAGTCAAATTTTCTTCAGTTGCGCTTGACTGCAGTTTCGTTGTGAGTTCTGTGACGTCATAGAGGTCGCATGAAAAAGCAATAATAGCGCGACTGGAGCAAATTTTACTATTTCAAATCTTTATCGGGCTACCTATGGATGAACGGGGCAACAGAATGTATGTAAGGATCAACAATTACGAATTTCAAAATGACTACCTCAGGGGGAGGGTTTACATCTTTACGAAAGTTGAATAGCACTATTCACCGTTCTACAACTGCTTGGATTAAAAGCAACAAACTTACAGATTTAATTGGGCCTATTATAAGAAGGATGCCTAATTTAGAAGTACTATAAATAAGGTTTAATAGGTCAATGAAAATACACTTTTGCAAGGTTTCACAAGGTTTCACAGGTTTTTATTTTTGGCATAAAATGCACTGAAAAAGAACGGTTTAGATACAATTTCATAAAAAAGAAGCGAGTATAGGAGAGAGCTTCATTGGCATTTTGTATAATTCTCTTATTCCAAACAATATTTCAATAATGTAATGCAACCTGCCACACTTCCAAGATATAGTCAAACAATGGTTGCAGGAAGAGGCTGTGACAGAAATGGATTGGCCTGCACAGTCAAAAGACCTTAACCCTATTGAAAATCTGTGGGAAAATGTCAAAAGGATAGTGCAAGAGAGGAATTAATTCATAAAGCGTCCATGATTTATGGGTTGCTGTGAAGACTGTCCATAGGATGAATTTCTTTTGACCGTGAAGATTACCACCTTAACAGAAAGTATGCCACGCCGGTGTAAGGCCGTCATCAATTATAGCGCCAAAGGACGGTCAACAAAATATTAATATTTCATATAGCTTAGCATGTAATCTAATCTATATTTACTCGTATATATTGTTAGTGGGACAGTTAAGTTAATTTGAGAGCATTTTAACTTGTTTTGAGCAGTTCTTTTTGACCACAAGTGTATATCCCAGTTATTAGTTATTACAGTTTTGTTATTATAATATTAACTGTTTGTCGATTAGCTAAATGCGCTGGGACTAAAAATGGGCGGTTGACAAAAAACATAGCCAAACCCGGCATGGCAGGCACTGTTTCGCCGTCCTTGCCTTGCCCTAATTTAGGGACCACCTGCCATGCAGGCTACAACATTAGTGACAAAAGGCTGTCGCCATAATCAATTTTCTCTCAAATGTTAATTTATTTTTACTGCTATGCCTTATTACAAGCTTCTCGCCACGCATACTTTTCTATGTCGTTTCAACGTCAACGTGATCTATTGAACACAACGTTCGCGACAAACTCCCCGTATTTTTAATCTTAGAAATCAAAATAATTACCATAAGAAACTTTATTTCCCTTTTTATTTTTTTAAAAATCCGAAATTCGAAGGACCATAACTCCCGTTTAAATTACGAAAAATATTTCGCTAGGAACGTAGGATTGAAAATGACCTTTCATTGCTACTCCTGTATAATTTCGACCATCTTTTATTTCCAAGTTCCTAGCTACGTCATATATTATTTAATTTTCAGAAATGTAAACTATTATAGTCTATCTATTAAGCCAGGTAGGTTCCTACTTGTCCTAAGCACCTGGGTCTCCTTTATCTCATGTCATTGGTGCGAAAAATGCTTTGTCTGTCGGAAAATAATTCAATTGATTTAAGGAGCTAGCCGTCACACAACGAAGAGTGAGACGACTTTGAGGTATTGAAATAAGTCTTTAGGAAACCATACTAGCACATGCTATTGTTAGGATGACTACATTACTGCCAGAATCATGTTACTTTAATATCGGTCCCCGAGGACGGGTGAATTCAAAATTTAAAAACTTGGGCAAAACGAATACTTGGGACATGAAAATTCTACGACTGAATAGTAAATATCATAATCTTACTTTTGTGTTGATTTCGTAAATTTTCATCGCGTTTTAGGCGAGTTATCGCGATATTTCAACAAACAAATGTCTCACTCAATCTCAAAGATGCATTGTGGAAAGTATGATGCAATGCCTTATCTTTGTAGCGTTGTAGCTTCGTTTCTTTTCAGCCAAAAGCGACGGTTCGCCCACCATTTTGTTTATAAAATCCTGCTCTATATTTGTACTAAATATCATACGCCAGAAGTACATATTTTTCCTTAAATGTGGGAATTTGCACAAACACTCGGTCGGGCGGAAATCTCCTTCGGGCGTCTTTCGGGCGTCTTTCGGGCTGTATGTTTTGATATTATGTGTATCCTAGGAAACAACATGCCCCGGAAATTGATTTTATGCCGGTAGAAATCATTCAGACGACGTATTTTAGTTGATTTTCAGCCAAACGCGTGGCTGTTCTTCGCAATTTTTAACGATGCGGTCGCATGTTTTGGGATTATGTTCAATCCGGACAGGGATAGTTATGAATTGCAAAAACAAATACATCAGATGAAAGATCATACTTTAAGCTTTCAAATGAAACCTTCTGAGTATTCATAGGGTAAATACTTGCTAAGATAACCTTGTGTAAACAGAACGTCCGGAAAATGGTAGCTACCTCGAGTATTAATCTCGGCTAACCGCGATATTCAACTTGATTACCCACATATCGTGTTTCCGGAAGGTAGCCATAACGACCAAATGGAGATTTGTCTTTATAGTTTATAATTATGTAGAGTTCATTGTAACTCCTTCGAAAATATAGTTTGTTATGGCATATGAGATATCACTGATCAATTATGAAAATAACAGACAGCAATAGAGTACAATATTTGAGCAATAGGGTACAATATTTGACGAAAGAATTCATGTTTAGAGGAGACTTTGATTTGCTTTGAATCTTTTATTTTAAATTAAAGTGTTCGAAAATTTATCACGTTTGTTTACGTCGACGCTTATCGTCGAGACGAAACAAACAACACAGCGAAATCATCAGACTTGCTTTCAAGAGTTAACAACGGTCTTTCGTATCGACTAACACGTATTGACTACAGTAATTTAAACATGGTTAATGGGTCTTATTTTCCCCACAATACAGATCAAATGCGGAAGATTTGCTGGTATAATTAAACTAGACTGTATTCTCATTATACCACCATAAAATATACAACAGTAATCATAATATTTACCTTGCTGAAGAATAGATACTTTTAAATAACTTTTACCGCATTGACCATTCCTCCACGATATAGCTTGGTATATTCAATTATAGCATTCAATACATCTGAAGAGACAAAGTTATGACAAGATAATATTTTGAATACTTTAAAGCTATTTTATGTAGATAGGCCACAGGAGGTTGTCAATTCTCTAAAAACATCTATAGAAAATTATTCATTTTCGAATGTTATTGTGACGCGTTTGCTCCGCCTTACAGGTTGGATCCAAAATGGAAAAAAAGACAAACACTATTTGCAAAAAGGTTTTAAATGCCTATGAAATTCATCATACTTCTGTGATTTAAGAATATGATATAAATATTTGTTGTTTTACGAATAGCTGAATAAATCGAGTTGAAATGATAATTATTACAAATATTAGCTATAATTACGATTAGGAATGCTGAAGTGGCTTGAGAACAAAGAGTGTTCATCGCCCTAAATATTACGCTGTTATAGCAGTGCAAAAATCTTATTGCTTGTTCATGTACACGATTTAAGTTTCATTTGTTACATTTCGTCGTATAATCCAACTGTCGTAATTCGTTTATATGCGAAATCTGACATATGAAAACCGAATTACAACAAATTATAACATATCAGTGAATTGCGACGAATTATGACGAGTCACGTCTGTTTCATACGCTGTTTTTGACATGCCGAATACATCAAGGACAATCAATAATAAACGGAAATGCCTCATTATCTATTTCTTTGATTAATGTTTCGCTCATATAAAACTGAATATGGTGTGAAACGGGCCTTAATTATTGCATGTTATATGAAAACCAGGGGCCGGTTGTTCAAAAGCAGGTTAAATTTAACCCTCCTACACAGTGCCGCGATTTTTCTTGCAACTTTCAATTCAAATCCTTATTTAGAGATGTAAACTTGGCAACTACACAACTTTTGTCTTTAGTAGACTCCATGGCGTTTCTTACACTTACATTTCGAGAACTCTTGAATAATTTACATCTCTTAAAAGTAGAATGAGATTAAATTTGAATTCCCCATGCTAGGAATACTGGCCAAAAAATAAAGTAATAACAATTGTCAAAACACCGTGTAAGGTAAAAGCAAAATTTTACGCAAGTACAATATTTATAGGTAATAGGTATAAAAGCAAAATTTACTCAAAAGCTAAGGGGAAAATTCATATTCATTGAAAATGTAGTGAAAAAATATATAGTGCCACATAAGTTAGATACAGGAAAAAAATTGTAATAAAAAACTTTATTTCCTTTTTATATTCTTCTGAATATCCGAGGTTCGAAGGACCATAACTCCTGTTTCAATTATGAAAAAAATATTTCGCTGCGAACGTAGGATTGAAAATTACCTTTCATAACTACTCCTCTAATTTCCGCCATCTTTTAATTAGCTCCAAGTTTCAAGCTACTTCATATATTATTTCATTTTCAGAAATGAAAACTATTATAGTCTCTATTAAGCCAGGTTCCTACTTGTCCTAAGCACCAGGGTCTCCTTTTTCTCATGTCACTGGTGCGAAAAATGCTTTGTCTGTCGGAAAATAATTCAATTGATCTAAGGAGCTAGCTGTCATTTAACGAAGAGTGAGACGACTTTTAGGTATTGAAATAAGTCTTTAGGAAACCATACAAGCACATGCTATTGTCAGGATGACTATATTACTGCCAGAATCATGTTATTTGCTCATTTCATTACCCAAAGTCATCTCAAGCTTGGTTTAATCTCGGCTAAGCGGGATATGCAACTTAATTAACCACATATCGTGTTTCCGGAATGAAGCTATTATTTAATGACTTAATAAATCTTTCCCACTATCTATAAACAAAGAGATAGAAATGGGGGGGGGGGGAGAGCAGTAGGAGGAAACGAAATTCCTATTTATAAACTGCTTTTCTGGAAACTAAACTGAAGTAAATACCGATTTTGCAGAAGAAACAACAGTAGTTTATGCTTAAAACTACAGTAGACAGCGAAGTAGCTTCCACAACTTAATTCCGCTGGTAAAGAGTTGCAGTCCAAGATATAGCGGTTAAAAAAGAGAATTTAAAGTAATTAGTACGTGCCTGTTTAGCTCTTGACTTAAAATTATGGTTAGATCTAATACGAGATTCACCCACAATATCCAGATATTTAAATTTGTCAATGTCACAAAGCCCAAACATGACCTTATAGAGCTGAACGAGACAAATGTATTTTCTTCGCTATTAAAGAGTCCTTGAGTTCCTTAAATATTTTTTTACATAGGGCTGATCAGGACCAAATCGAAATTTGTCTTCATGATTATGTAGAGATTATTGTAACTCGTTCACAGTGAGATTACTGATCAATTAGGAAAATTCAAGACAGCAATAGAGTACAATATTTGAGCAATAGAGTACAATATTTGACGGAAGAATTCATGTTTAGAAGAGACATAAACTGGTCGAAAATTTATAACTTTGTTTACGTCGCTTATTGTCGAGACGAAATAAATATCACATCGAAATCATCAGACTTGCTTTCAAGAGTTAACAATGGTCTTTCGTATCGACTACCACGTATTGTGACTACAGTAATTTAAACATGGTTAATGGAGTCTTATTTTCCCCATAATACAGATGAAATTCGGAAGGTTGATAGCGGTTTGCTGGTAGCTATAATTAAACTAGATTGTATTCTCATTATACCACCACAAAATATACAATAGATATATATTAAGAACCTACCTTGATAATCATAATATTCACCTTGCTGAAGCATAGATACTTTTAAATCACACGATTTATAGCTTGGTATATTCAATTATAATTTAATACATCTGAAGAGACAAACCTATCACAAGATGATATTTTGAATACTTAAAAGCTTTTTTATGCAGATAGGCCACAGGAGGTTGTCAATTCTCTAAAAACATCTATAGAAAATTATTCATTTTCTAATATTATTGTTACGCGTTTGCTCCGCCTTACAAGTTGGATTCAAAAAGGCCAAACATTATTTGCAAACAGCTTTTACACGCCTGAAAAATTTATCATACTTCTGGAATTTAAGAATGTGATATAATTATTCGTTGTTTTTCGAATAGCTGGATAAATCAGAATTATTACAAATATTAGCTATAATTACGATTACGAATGCTGAGCTGGCTTGAAAACAAATAGTGTTCATCGCCTTTAATATTACGCTATTGTTACGCAAAGCTTTATTGTGTTTAGAGATATGCATATAAAAATAGCTGTAAAAATAGGAATATCAATAGCATGACAGGGATTAGTGAATGATTTTTGCCACAAGACGCCTGAGTAAATATAATTTTTCGGCCATTAGCAAACATTAATCGCCTTTCCCTTCCATGTATGACATATCGTAGGATTAAATAAGTAATAAAGAAGAAAATATTTGTAATCCTCTCAGAACTGATACCTGGATAAACAGTCTTAAGTCTTCACTTATCTAAATGGTCGCATTCTTTAAAAAAGTGTGCGTGCTGTAGGCCATTCAAGTTCTTATGTCAATCAATTGTGGTAAAAATGTTGCTCGGTCAAGCATGTAATAGATTACGTCATCACAAGTTCAATTCGATAAAATAAGAGTGAAAATAGTTTAAGTTGAAAGATATTGTTCACAGACGTATTGTTGGTATATTTTACTAGTTGTTGATGATGAATATTTTAAGTTGTGAACATTTTTAAGTATTGATCGATTGAGCAGAAGACCAACTCGACTAGTGCGACAACGCCTTAAATAAACAAGATATGAGAGCTGGAACGAGCTTCTAAGACCAACCCACTGGTTACATGTACAACGCTGATTGGCTGGATAAGGATCAGCCCACTATGGTTGATGACGTATGCAAGAGTCACTGAACCCTCATTATAAAAGGGCGTGCACAGCACCTGAACCTTCAGTGGACTGACGGAGTAAAGATTAACTTATGAAACGTTAGAAAACTCAACGACAGAACTGACGAAGAAGACAAGAACATTTAACGACGATCAAGATCAAAATTTGAAGAAGAGAAGATTAGCGAACTTTAGTTAAAACCTTTGTAAAGATCTCCTACCTCGCGTAAGAAGAAATAAAAAGATCTATAACACTATTATAGCAGTGGAAAATCTTATTGCTTCGTCATGTACACAATTTAAGTTTCGTTTGTTATATTTCGTCGTATAATCCAATTGTCGTAATTCCTTTTTATGCGAAATTTGACATATGAAAACCGAATTACAACAAATTATGACATATCAGTGAATTGCGACGAATTATGACGAGTCACGTCTGTTTCATAAGCCGTTTTTTGACATGCCGAATACATCAAAGACGATCAATAATAAACGGAAATGCCTCATTATCTATTGTTTTAATGTATTCGCGCATATAAAACTGAATATGGTGTGAAACGGGTCTTATTGCATGTTATATGAAAACCAGGGGCCGGTTGTTTAAGAGCAGGTTGAATTTAACCCAGGGTTAAGGCCCTGTTACACAGTGCGATTTTTCTTGCAACTTTCAATTTAATTCCTTATTTAGAGATGTAAATTTGGCACTGCACAACTTTTGTCTTTATTACACTCTATGGCGTTTCTTACACTTACATTTCGAGAACTCTTCACTAATTTACATCTCTTAAAAGTAGAGTTAAATTGCAAGTTGCAAGAATAATTGCACCGTGTAACATGGCCTTTAGTGCTAAACCTAGGCTAAATTGGATATAAGAACACTTTCTTTTTTTTATTGGTTTGTCACTAAAAGTTACAGCAGTGACAGTAGACAATAACAGGACATAAGTCCCAATTTGTAATTGTCTCCTTATCTAAATATAAATACACTAAAATACAACTACTGAACTACTACAGACATAATACAGAAATTTTACAAACAAACTCGAACGGACACATATGCTTACATTATTACTAAACAGAAGTAATTATTACTAAGTATTATGTAGTTATGGAGGAGCGTAACTTTGCAGAGTTTCTTTAGATTGAAGTATAAGCCTTGTTTTAAGTGATTGTAATCATGAAGAGGCTTTAGTATCATGCGGTTTCGATTGGTGGAGGACCCAGCTTCAAAACTGTAAGCCAAGTACGAGGAAGAATTGTCACTCAAAAAACTATAGTAAAATAAGTGAGGGCAGTTTTTAGAAATTTAAAATACACTGATAAAGTCAAGCCTTTCAACGCATATGTAACATGGTGCAATTTTTCCTCCAATTTGCAATAAATTCTTCTTTGAGAGACTTTTGCCTTTATTACACTCCATGCATCGTGCATGTTACACTTTTTTGAAAACTCTTTAGTAATTTACATATCATAAAAGTAGAATTGCATTGCAAGTTGCAAGAAAAATTTCACCTTATAACATGGCCTTTAAGATAGGTACTACAATCAACTTAATCTTAGACACTCTGTATACCTTCCCGCTGTCTTTACAGTGAAAAATCGATTCTTGTGTGTCCGACAATTCGTCGTTTCACTGTGTAAGGAATACTATATACGTTTTCTTTTACACTTCGTTAGCATTATTTTTTCCCTTATATCACTTCAGCTAAATCCAGGTTTTCACAAACTGACTTGTCTTGAGATTTATTTGGGTTTGTCGCCGGTTTATCCTTGACTGATATCTTTTCTCTTGAGCAACGATAAAAAATCACTATAATAACCACAAGAAAAACTCCAAAGACTATCAACACGATTAAAATGGTGTATAAATCCTGCCATTCGTTTCCGCCATTTTCCATTTTATCGCGATCTGTTAACAGAAAAATATCAGTTCTTCTCAAACGGAATCTGGCGTAATGGCATAATAACCTCTGCGGCCATCATTTCCCAAGAACAATGAAAATTTGTTTTTAGTATTTTTGCAGAAAGTATCGAAAGGGCAATCTCGTATTCTAGCGTTACATTCGTGGACATTCAGAACTGATGAAATTTAAGAAAATATGTCGTCCTTCGTCCAAAAAAGATCAGGAAAAAATTAAGCTTTGAATCCGAAATTTTCACTCAAATAGACACTTTTCTTAAAAAAATACTGGTCAGAATAAAGTTTATGCTGTTTAATATAAAGAACCGACGAAATGTTCTCTTGTGGGTAGGGGGAAATCGTTTTCATTTGTAACACAAATGGGAAAACATACTGAATTTACCAAAAAGGGGGGATTTCGTTTAAAACTAATCGGCATAATATTTGTTTGCATTTTTTAGACAAAGTCAATCAGAATGTTTTAATTTTTAAAACGTCGTGTAAAGTGGTAAATAACTCATCTTTTTACCTGGAAGTACTCAAAATTTATACATTCTGATTAAGTTACTGAAAATGTTAACAAACTTGCTAATTGGTCAAAACGAAATTCCCCCAAAGACACTGCATTTACCCAAAGACGCTTGAGAACGAATCGAGAAAGAACCAAATACATTCTGTTATGTCTGTACATAATTTCTCACAATAAAAAAATGTTTTTTGAATCATTCTATTTTTTGAATCGCTATTCCAATTTTCGTTACAAACGTGCATGGTTATAAACAAGACCCGGTAATCATATTTCTTGTAAACGTTTCATGGCTAAAACCTAAAACGTCATTAATATACAGCTCCTGAACTTTTGAGCCATTGCTAGCAAGTTATACTATTGTATTATACTATATTCAAGCCTAACCTTGACAGCCTGTTCCATTTCCCCCGAAACCATTTTTGCATGAACAATTGAAAGAACTATCAGTATTATTACAGTGGGCGTTATGATGGCAATTATGAGATTTTTTAATGCATACGTCAATATCTGAAAAAATAATTTAATTAAGGATTAGGATTTTTATATAATTATAGTGTTCATAATAATATATTCTCAATAATTCTGATATTTTGCAAGTGTCATCGAAAAAATCTCAGTTTTTTCAATCATGCACTGCATCACATTCGTCGAAATCTTTAAAGGAACTTTAGCAAAAAAGTATCTTCTTTAACAATTAAAATTCTGTCGATAAACAAGCATGGGAAAGATTTCAGTCAGGGCCTGACCTTGACAATCTGTTCCATTTCCCCTGCATCCAATTTTGCATGAACAATTAAAAGAACCATCAATATTGTTACAATGAGCATTCTGATGGCAGTTGTGAGTCCCCGCAACACATTCATTTAAATCTGAAAATGATAATGTGGGAAAAACGATATCACTCTTGATATTTTTCTACTGTTCACAAACACATTCGTTTTGTTTTCTTTATGTCGTTGTAAAAACTAAAAGTCTTTTGATAACGAATGTATGGCGATCATGGTGATTATATTTCCAACAAAGCTGAGATGACTAGACAATGCCATATATGTTTCCTGCGAAGTTTAAAGCTGTGAAACTACAATGCAAGTTAGAAATCTGTCACACTCAAGCTTCACCTTGACAGTCTGTTCCATTTCCCATGAAACCAATTTTGCATGAACAATTAAAAGAACCATCAGTATTGTTACAGAGAGCATTCTGATGGCAATTGTGAGTCCCCGCATCACATTCGTTAAAATCTGAGAATGATAATGTCGGGAAAACGATATCATTTTTGATATTTTCCTACTGTTTACAAACACATTCGTTTTGTTTTCTTTATGTCCTTGTAAAAACTAAAAGTCTTTTGATAACGAATGCATGGCGATAATGGGATTATATTTCTAATAAAATTGAAATGATTAGACAATGCCATATATGTTTCCTGCCAAGTTTAAAGCTGTGAAACTACAATGCAAGTTAGACATCGATAGATATCTGTCATACTCAACCTTCACCTTGACAGTTTGTTCCATTTCCCAAGTAACCAATTTTGCATGAACAATTAAAAGAACCATCAATATTGTTACAATGCGCATTCTGATGGCAGTTGTGAGTCCCCGCAACACTTTCGTTTGAATCTGAAAATGATAATGTCGGGAAAACGATATCATTCTTGATATTTTTTTACTGTTTACAAACACATTCGTTTTGTTTTCTTTATGTCCCTGTAAAAACTAAAAGTCTTTTGATAACGAATGCATGGCAATCATGGTGATTATATTTCTAACAAAGCCTAGATTATTAGACAATGCCATACATGTTTTCTGCGAAGTTTAAAGCTGTGAAACTAGAATGCAAGTTAGACATCGATAGATATCTGCCATACTCAAGCTTCACCTTGACAGTCTGTTCCATTTCCCATGAAACCAATTTTGCATGAACAATTAAAAGAACCATCAGTATTGTTACAATGAGCATTCTGATGGCAACTGTGATTCCCTGCATTACAATCGTCGAAATCTTGAAATAATAATTTAGCAAAAAAGATAAAATTCCTAATGTTTTCTATTGTTCACATATACATCGCCTTCGTTGATTGTATATTCCTAGTCATATTCATAACAAAGCTTTAGAAACCAATCATATTTAATTTTTAATAAAATTGCGATGACTAGACAATGCTATTGAAGTTTCCTTCGATGTTTAAAGCTGTGGAACGATGGAAAACCTCTGCTATACTCAAGCCTAACCTTTACAGTCTGTTCCATTCCCGATGAAACCAATTTTGCATGAACAATTAAAAGAACCATCAGTATTGTTACACAGAGCATTCTGATGGCAAATGTGACTCCCTGCATCACACTCGTCGAAATCTAGAAATAATTATTTAGCAAAAAAGTCAAAATTCCATATAGTGTATTTTCTATTGTTCACTTATACAACGCCTTTGTTCGTTATATGTTCCAAGTTATATTCGAAACAAAGCTTTAGAAACCATAATTTAATTTGTAAAAAAATGCAATGACTAATCAATGCTGTCAAGGTTTCTTGCGATGTTTAAAGCTTAGAAACTATGGGAAACCTCTGCTATACCCTGGCCTAACCTTCACAGTCTGTCCCACTCCCAATGAAACCAATTTTTCATGAACAATTAAAAGAACCATCAGTATTGTTACAGTGAGCATTCTGATGGCATCTGTGATTCCCTGCATCACATTCGTTGAAATCTGCAAATAATAATTCGGAGAAAAAAATCGAGATATATTTCTATTGTACACAAATAAATAGTTTCTCTTCACTTTGTGTGCCTAGTAATATATATATAGGGATCTTATTTCTAAAAAGTGTGCGATGACTAGACAATGCCATTGAGTTTCCTGCGAAATTTAAATCTGTAGATTATGGGAAATTTTAACTTTTGAATTTTACTATACTGAAGTCTAACCTTGACAGCTTGTCCCATTTCCTGAGTAGCCATTTTTGCATGTACAATTGAAAGAGCCATCAGTATTATTACAGTAGGCATTGTGATGGCAATTATGAGACCCTGCATCACATTCGTCGAAATCTGGAAATAATAATTTTAAAAAAGGATAAAGTCGAATATTTTTTAATTGTCCACAAATACTAATTGCTTTTGCACATATTATGTTCCCAGTAACGATTAAAAGAGAGTTGATAATGAAGGCATAGTAATTATTTTTTAACACAATTGTGATATTACCAGACAATGACATTGATTTTCTTATCCCTTATCATTTAGCCATTAGACTTCATTGGAATTATTTTAAAACTTTGGTGTTTTCTGCAAATCTCTCGTTGAGAATGCGGTATATTTTCTCTTTGAAATTGGCTATTTCTTGACGTCAAAAAGCGAAAACAACACAGTGCCCACTATTTCTAAGCATGTATAGTTTTGCATCATGTCCGCGTATCATATTCACTAGTAAATGCAATTGGTTTTTATATTAGCGAATTTGAAAAATTTTACCGCTGTAGATTTCTCATCTAACAGTTTAAATTTTATTTTTAATGTGGATTAAATTTGGAGCATGCAATTTGTTCATTTTCGAAATCAATTAATGCGAAATCTAAACATGTTGCTAAAAAGTTTTCTTGATAATTGCTGATAAAAAGGTAACCCTCACGGTACCATCTTTCTCACCCAACAGTGTAAGTGGAACTTTCGAACCGAAATGTAGTACGAATTGCATCCAAGTTTCAAAGGTAAGAATATAATTAAAAACATACTAGCTTTCACCTTTATCGGGGATGTAAGAGGGCTACATAAAAATGATACCTCACTTATACTTTCTCTTCAAGAAGATTAAATCTAATTTTCAATGTACCTTAGAATTTGGAGCTTGTGAAATTTTGAGACATTGCTGACTGAAGCAAGTGTTGCGAACGTTTAATCTTTGCAACCATTTTGAAAATGATGAGAATTAAAGACTTAGGCCTAGTTCTCATACAGTATCGCGATGTCATCGGCGATGTTCTACGATCCATTATTTGTGATCAATTAAGTAAATATTTTTTTTAAATAGACACAGCATTTTACTCATCAATATGAACCGACAAAAACAGTGCCGACGAATGGCGATGTACGAGACTTACGCCTGTATTCAAAAAGCTCACTCACACTCACACTCATTGAGTGTGACATAAATATTTTGTTAATGCTGATCAATGAGAAAGTTTTTCTGAATAGATGGAAAGATATAAGGTGAATCACTGAAAATCAAGCCCCTATTTGTCTGTAAATGCCGCCATTAAAACGTTATGAGAAGATGAAGATCTCCCACTCAATAAATTTGAGTGTGAGGGAGCTTTTAGAATACAGGCGTTAATCTTCATGAATTAATGGTGAATATAAATAAAGAAATGCTGTGCTATCTGCACTTGCGTTGCACACTAAAAAAATGTCAGGAACTATAATATATAGAAAATACATCTCTGATCTACAATCATTACCGTCATCATCTGTGATAGTCACTGTCGCTTCGCCAACAGAAATTTGAACGTTGGGATTGTTATTTAACATCAAACAACTGTAAAATTTTCGCTGCCTTCATAACTGTTATCATCAATTATCAAATATCAACGCAATCAGTTGTTTGAATAAAACTTTGTATTCCAACAGATTTCTCATCACCTACTAAAACTTTGTAATCTTCTCCGCTTGTTGCAGTGCCATTTCTGAATGTTAATCTTGAAATATTTTGATAAAACACATTAAACC